TGGTATTTAAACAAGTTGTTTGTTTTTTTTATTATCTTTCGAATGGCCTTAATGAATTTTCGAAAAAAACAAATTTTGGTTCAGCAATAAAAACTTTGAAATTTCAAAGCTCTCTAAATCTCTTATTACCCATATAGCATTTAAAATGGTATTTAAAAAAGTTGTTTGTTTTTTTATTATCTTTCGAATGGCTTAAATGAATTTTAAAAAAAAACAAATTTTGGTTCAGCAATAAAAACTTTGAAATTTCAAAGCTCTCTAAATCTCTTATTACCCATATAGCATTTAAAATGGTATTTGAAAAAGTTGTTTGTTTTTTTTATTATCTTTCGAATGGCCTTAATGAATTTTCGAAAAAAACAAATTTTGGTTCAGCAATAAAAACTTTGAAATTTCAAAGCTCTCTAAATCTCTTATTACCCATATAGCATTTAAAATGGTATTTAAAAAAGTTGTTTGTTTTTTTATTATCTTTCGAATGGCTTAAATGAATTTTAAAAAAAAACAAATTTTGGTTCAGCAATAAAAACTTTGAAATTTCAAAGCTCTCTAAATCTCTTATTACCCATATAGCATTTAAAATGGTATTTGAAAAAGTTGTTTGTTTTTTTATTATCTTTCGAATGGCCTTAATGAATTTTCGAAAAAAACAAATTTTGGTTCAGCAATAAAAACTTTGAAATTTCAAAGCTCTCTAAATGTCTTATTACCCATATAGCATTTAAAATGGTATTTGAAAAAGTTGTTTGTTTTTTTATTATCTTTCGAATGGCCTTAATGAATTTTCGAAAAAAACAAATTTTGGTTCAGCAATAAAAACTTTGAAATTTCAAAGCTCTCTAAATCTCTTATTACCCATATAGCATTTAAAATGGTATTTAAAAAAGTTGTTTGTTTTTTTATTATCTTTCGAATGGCTTAAATGAATTTTAAAAAAAAAACAAATTTTGGTTCAGCAATAAAAACTTTGAAATTTCAAAGCTCTCTAAATCTCTTATTACCCATATAGCATTTAAAATGGTATTTGAAAAAGTTGTTTGTTTTTTTTATTATCTTTCGAATGGCCTTAATGAATTTTCGAAAAAAACAAATTTTGGTTCAGCAATAAAAACTTTGAAATTTCAAAGCTCTCTAAATCTCTTATTACCCATATAGCATTTAAAATGGTATTTAAAAAAGTTGTTTGTTTTTTTATTATCTTTCGAATGGCTTAAATGAATTTTAAAAAAAAACAAATTTTGGTTCAGCAATAAAAACTTTGAAATTTCAAAGCTCTCTAAATCTCTTATTACCCATATAGCATTTAAAATGGTATTTGAAAAAGTTGTTTGTTTTTTTATTATCTTTCGAATGGCCTTAATGAATTTTCGAAAAAAACAAATTTTGGTTCAGCAATAAAAACTTTGAAATTTCAAAGCTCTCTAAATCTCTTTTTACCCATATAGCATTTAAAATGGTATTTAAAAAAGTTTTTTGTTTTTTTATTATCTATCCAATGACCTAAATAAATTTTTGACAAACACAAATTTTGTGCTAGTAATAAAAGCTTTATCCCTCTCTACATCCCTTATTATAATTTTATGAAAGGGTTATAATAATTATAATGCAACAAATTATGATTAAATATATTCTTTTGTCGGAACTTAAAATAATTAGATGTTAAAAATTTAGTATGACCGCTGGCGCTTTGGCGTCCACCTGAATTTATTGCTGGCTGGCTACTTGCTAACATGACACAGGTCATTTTCAGGGTGCAGTCACAATTTTTATTTTACTTTATTTTATCCCCAGAAATATCTGCTAAATTTTTTTATTCCTTAATATTAATATTTAGTCAGTTAAAATAATTTTTTTAGTTCATGTGTCAGATTGGGGCGATGCGCGCGGCAGCCGAACCACGGAGCAGGTCAACTCGGCGATGTAAAGTCGGCGACGGTCAACTCGGCGATGCCGAGTCGGCGATGGTAAACTCGGCGACGATCAACTCGGCGAAAAGGAATACAATAATATATTATTCAATTATTTATTATAATACAAAATAAGATACAACCTATAAAAAAAAAAATTTGATTGGAGAATTTGATTAATAAAATAAAAATATATAAGAGATTTTAAATAAGAAACTGGAAAAAAGTTATTATTACTAAAGTAAATCAACATATACAGGAAAAAATATATTAAATATTAAAACTAAGAATCTGAAAAAGAAGCTTATTGATTAAGAAATTAAAATTTAATGGCCAGAGTTGTTTGGAACACACAAAATTAAGGTGGCAATAAAATCAATTAAGGGTCTTAACTACAATTAGGGTTTTTAATACCTAGTATTAGAAAGCAAATAAATATTAAGGGCTTAAGATTTTTCAAAATAAAATAAAAATAAGATTACTTTATAATTGCCTGCTTAAGGGCTTAAGATTTTTCAAAACAAAATAAAAATAAGATTACCTGATAATTATCTGCTTACTTGTACCTACATCCTATAAAAGACTGGTGATATTCACTTTCCTTAATATTCCGAATTCATCTCAGAAGTAAAGACACTGTGTGTAATTTTGTTTGTCTGTGTGAGTTTTTTTTATTACTGAGACTAAAGATGGAAAATAAAGTTCTTAGCCAAAGGGGTCACGAAAAGTACTACCAGGATGGCTACCTATACACGAAGGATAAAACGAACAAGGACAACACCATTCAATTCTGGCGCTGCGAAAACAAGCATGAAAGATGCAAAGGAAGAGTATGGACCAATATTATGGATGGTTCTTTCAAATGTATACGAAATGAACACACATGTAGTACGATAGGAAATGCAGCAAATGTTGTTCTGCAAAAAATGAATACCACTGTGAAGCACCTGGCCGCGACAACGATGGAGAATCCTGCCCAAATCAGAGGTCGAGTTTTGGAGAATGTACCAGCTGCGGTTAAAGGAATGCTTCCAAGTTCCAGTGTTATGCGGAGAAAAATTCAAAGAGTAAGAGTAACCATGTGCAAAGCACCTGCCAATCCAGAAACTCTTAGTGAAATTATCATCCCAGATGTGTACTCGCAATATTATTACAGCCCTACTCAATTTGAGAATTTTTTGCTGGCAGATTCCGGAAGAGATCAAGTGGATCCACATCGAATTCTAATATTTGGTAGAGAATACCATGCAACATGGAGTGCAAGCATAAAAGAATTATTTGTTGACGGCACATTCTTATTGTGTCCTCCACTTTTTGCTCAAATAATTGTTGTTCTGGCAAGAAAAGATACGCATGAAGAGAAGGGTCCAGTTTTTTCTGTACTATATTGCTTGCTGCCCAATAAAAGTGCAGAAACATATCTCAATGTGTTTAACATGATAAAAGTTCTTTGGCCGCAATTAAATCCTGAAAGCATCAGTGTCGACTTTGAGTTGGCAATTCACCAGGCCGTAAGACAAGTTTTCCCAGAAGCCGAAATTAGAGGATGCTTATTCCACTTGGTCAAAAATCTTCGAAAGCATTTATCTTCTTGCAATCTCCTAGGAATGTACAATACTGATCCCGAATTTGCACTACAAGCAAAAATGGTAACATCATTGGCATTTGTCCCAGAAGAGGATGTGATTGAGGCCATTGCCGAATTGGAAAATGAGTTGCCAGAAATATTAGAACCAATTTTAGAATGGTTTACCAGCAATTATATCGGTCGACTTAGGAATAATGGAACCAGAGTGCCAGCAACTTTTCCATCAGCAGTTTGGTCCGTTTATTTTCGAACATTGAATGGACGAGATAGGACAAATAATTTTGCAGAAGCATGTCATCGCAAGTTGCAACTGGCTTTTGATTCTGGCATTGCTCATCCTTCGTTATGGACATTCATAGATAATTTAAAAAAGGTACAATCTTCGTACGATGCAGACTATGAACGAGCAATTGCCGGGCGCAATGGCGCATCAAAAAGGAAACGTTATGAGGAAGCCGACGAGAGGATTTTAAATAAAGTGGCCAATTATAACAGGCAAAATTTGATCGAGTATCTCAGAGGGATATCACATAATTACAACATGAATTAGTTTTTTTATATTATATTGTATTATAAATAATTGTAATGTGTATTATAATAAATAACAATATTCTACAATCAACCTTTTTTTATTTCAGTTTTTATTTTTTAATTCCGTTTCAGCATATAATATGTTACTTAATTTTTTTTATTTCATAACCTAATATTTTAATATAGGTATTATATCTTATTTTTATTTTGCATTGAAAAATCTTAAGCTCTAAATTTTCCCTTAATATTTTAATTTGCTTTCTAATAATATGTATTAGAAACCCTAATTGTAGTTAAAACCCTTAATTGATTTTATTGCCACTTTTAAAATATCTTATATATTTTTATTTTATTAATCAAGTTCTCTAATCAATTTTTTTTATAGATTGTATATTATATTGTATTATAATAAATAATTGCATATTATATTATTGTATTCCTTTTCGCCGAGTTGATCGTCGCCGAGTTTACCATCGTCGAGTTGGCCATCGCCGACTTGGCGTCGCCGAGTTGACCGTCGCCGGCTTTGCATCGCCGAGTTGTCGCGTACCGGCCGAACCACGCGTTTTTACCGTGATTTTCGCCGCTTAATTAAAATTATAAGGGATGTTGGTACAGTTCCGGGAGGTAGGACTTTTTTTTAGGAAATTTCCTGCTCTTTAAGGATCTTTTCTCAAATTTCGATTATCTCAAATAGTTTTTGAAATATTTCAAAAAAACCAAACCCTTATTTTTTATTTTACTTTATTGTTTATAACTTTTGTATTTTTTTTCAGTCCCTCTTGGAATTTTGACAGGTTTCGAGGGAAATGGCACTTGTGAACCAGACTATGGATGCTGCATTGGTGGTTTCTTAAGATGTATGTTCCATCTAAGTTTAGATTCAAAAATACTTAAAAGTTTCTTTGATAAGTGGGGATATGTGGAAATAATTTTTTTATCAATTAAAACTTGAGGAAATTAAATAACAATCGTAATAAAAACAAAAACTTTATTGTTTTATTCTTTTTTAGTCACCTTTTGTACATCACTACTTTTCATAAATTCTCTATAATAATAAATATAACAATAGACAACTCCTATCGAACAATACACAGAAGTAATCATTAATGGCAAAAAAGGCAGTTTATTATTCAGGCCTAGACAAACATGTACTACATTTTCATATAAAAATATTCCAATTAGGCCCATTAAATAAAAACTTTCTATAGAATTAAGAAGAGGTAAGCTGAATCTATAAACAGGCGAAACTTGTGTATGGAGAGTTGATAAACTATGAAAAGAATATAAAGTATAAAGTAAAAGAAGTAAAACTTTTACTAGTAATAGAGAATTCACAAATAAAAGAGGAAATAATGAGTAGTGCCCAACTGTGGATAGTATTAAGAATATCTTGGCGTCATTGGCGTTAAAAATTGATAAAATGCTGAAATTAAAAAATATATATATGTAGTAAAATTTTGATAAAAAAAAAACATTAAAATTCACCAAAAGTGAAAATTTTACTCAACAGTATCCTTATTCTCGAGTCACACATTCGTTGTTCTTATAGCACTATCGGACGTGCTTCTATTAAAATTATACAGAGTGAAAGACATACATCGCTGTAAAAAATTAAATTATTAAATATTAGACTTTACAAAACCATCATCGTAGCCATCGTCTAATCAATACAGTAAACGCCAAATCTAAAGAACCAGAGCAAATGCTCAAGTTTGTTTACTTAAAAATCGCCACGCCCATTCACAATTTGAACCTTGTTTTTGCTTAAGGTCAGTAGCGTAACGACTAGATCATTGTTTGTTTCTGTGTTTTGGTTAAAGTGGTTATTTTTGATAATGTCTTCTATTGTGGGTGAAAAAAAGCGCAGATCTGTTATTAACGGACAAAGTCGTGAAGTAATATACAATGTTTTTAAATATTTTGACGCAACAAAAAAGGAAGGAGTTATTTTAGATGATATCAAACTTCAAACTGCACAAGCAACAGGTAAACATACTCTGTAGTTTATTTGCAATTAAACTTGCGTAGTTTTCCATATTTTTTATATTATAAGGAAGGTAAACAGTCAATGGAAACAACTGGAAAAATTACATTTTCCACACCTAGGAAAAACTTCGTCAAAAAATCACTATTTTCCATTTATTTTATGTCTTAAAATATACGCGCCCCTGGTTTACAACTTTCTAGGTAAGCTACCAATTCTATTCATCGGTAGGCGTGTTCGTAGCAATATAAATGCGCGTCCTTGGTTCTTTAGATTTGGCGTTTACTGTACCACCTCAGTAAATTTTAAAGCGGACAGACCAATATTATTAAGGAAACCAGATTTCGCCCCCTTGTTAAAAAAAAATTGTAGAAGCAAGGATCATACCTGAAATATTGAGAAACAGATTTTCTAAATCTGCATTAGTGCCTTGAGATGCAGTATCGCATGCTGTCGCTGAACTATTATTTATCTGGGCCACATGACGGAGCTCTGTGCGCTCTTTAAAACACCCTTGCGGCACTCCGCTACCCCCGAACCCACGGTTAAATCAAACCGGTAACTTAAGTGGAGAATTCGCTGCAATTAGTCTAGCGCAGCGCGTAATACATACGCGACTTTTGAGTTTACGGCGAGACAATAATTTTAAGGGTGCGTCTATTGTGTTTTTATGTATTGCTGACAATTATCTGTGTACTATGGAAGTGATCTTCAATTTAATTAACGTAAATAAATTTTTTAAATATACATACGAAGTAAAGATGAAATTAAAAGAAAAAGGTAGGCCATTACCAGATATAATTATAGAAAAAACTGGTGTAAGTATAGGAAAAAGTTACACACGAGAGTTTAATAGAGATATTTATTCAAAAAACGAATGGATCTGTGGATGTAACAAAAAAATGCTCTGTACTGTTTTCACTGTTTACTTTTTGGAGGCGGAAAAGCTTGGACGGAAATAGGGGTCACAGAGAGTGGGTGGCTCAGTGGTAGAGTCTCTGGTAGAACACTTAAGTTTAAATAAAAAAAATCTGATGTGTCCAACACATGACTTTCCTATCTAGTTTTTATACTGAAAAATTTAAATTTAGCACTTTTCCATTACGGTCCATTTTAGAAAAATCATGTATAAACAAAAATTATAGAGATCGATATCGCAAACAATTTTTAGTTCAACAATTTTCATAAAAATCAGAATTTTGCACATTTTGTCAAATTTCTCGGATACGGACCATTTCAGGAAATTTTAACATAAAACAAAAATTATAGATAATAATATTAGAAGTAACTTTTATTTGAACAATTTTCTTCTCTAAACATAAATAACAGATATATTCCATAAAATATAAAAATGACCACCTATAAAGTACCCCCCCAGATGTTCCGACTCTGCCCAAAATCTAATCAGCTCATTGGACGCTAAAACAAAGCTTAAGTTTAAAATTTGGTGTTTTTTTGTGTATCGGTTCATGAGTTATGCGTTATACAGACACACACACACACACAGACACACACAGACACACACAGACACACACAGACACACACAGACACACACAGACACACACAGACAGACACACACAGACAGACACACACAGACAGACACACACAGACAGACACACACAGACAGACACACACAGACAGACACACACAGACAGACACACACAGACAGACACACACAGACAGACAAACACAGACAGACACAGACAGACAGACACACACAGACAGACACACACAGACAGACACACACAGACAGACACACACAGACAGACACACACAGACAGACACACACAGACAGACACACACAGACAGACACACACAGACAGACACACACAGACAGACACACACAGACAGACACACACACACACAGACAGACACACACAGACAGACACACACAGACAGACACACACAGACAGACACACACAGACAGACACACACAGACAGACACACACAGACAGACACACACAGACAGACACACACAGACAGACACACACAGACAGACACACACACACAGACAGACACACACAGACAGACACACACAGACAGACACACACAGACAGACACACACAGACAGACACACACAGACAGACACACACAGACAGACACACACAGACAGACACACACAGACAGACACACACAGACAGACACACACAGACAGACACACACAGACAGACACACACAGACAGACACACACAGACAGACACACACAGACAGACACACACAGACAGACACACACAGACAGACACACACAGACAGACACACACAGACAGACACACACAGACAGACACACACAGACAGACACACACAGACAGACACACACAGACAGACACACACAGACAGACACACACAGACAGACACACACAGACAGACACACACAGACAGACACACACAGACAGACACACACAGACAGACACACACAGACAGACACACACAGACACACACACACAGACACACACACACAGACACACACACACAGACACACACACACAGACACACACACACAGACACACACACACAGACACACACACACAGACACACACACACAGACACACACACACAGACACACACACACAGACACACACACACAGACACACACACACAGACACACACACACAGACACACACACACAGACACACACACACAGACACACACACACACAGACACACACACACAGACACACACACACACACACAGACACACACACACAGACACACACACACAGACACACACACACAGACACACACACACAGACACACACACACAGACACACACACACACACAGACACACACACACAGACACACACACACAGACACACACACACAGACACACACACACAGACACACACACACAGACACACACACACAGACACACACACACACACAGACACACACACACAGACACACACACACACACACAGACACACACACACACACACACACACACACACAGACACACACACACACACAGACACACACACACACAGACACACACACACAGACACACACACACAGACACACACACACACAGACACACACACACAGACACACACACACAGACACACACACACAGACACACACACACAGACACACACACACACAGACACACACACACACAGACACACACACACACACAGACACACACACACACAGACACACACACACACAGACACACACACACACACACACACACACAGACACACACACACACAGACACACACACACACAGACACACACACACACACACACACACACACACACACACACACACACACACACACACACACACACACACACACACACACACACACACACACACACACACACACACACACACACACACACACACACACACACACACACACACACACACACACACACACACACACACACACACACACACACACACACACACACACACACACACACACACACACACACACACACACACACACACACACACACACACACACACACACACACACACACACACACACACACACACACACACACACACACACACACACACACACACACACACACACACACACACACACACACACACACACACACACACACACACACACACACACACACACACACACACACACACACACACACACACACACACACACACACACACACACACACACACACACACACACACACACACACACACACACACACACACACACACACACACACACACACACACACACACACACACACACACACACACACACACACACACACACACACACACACACACACACACACACACACACACACACACACACACACACACACACACACACACACACACACACACACACACACACACACACACACACACACACACACACACACACACACACACACACACACACACACACACACACACACACACACACACACACACACACACACACACACACACACACACACACACACACACACACACACACACACACACACACACACACACACACACACACACACACACACACACACACACACACACACACACACACACACACACACACACACACACACACACACACACACACACACACACACACACACACACACACACACACACACACACACACACACACACACACACACACACACACACAGAGACATCATCGCGAAAATAGTCAAAACGGATTCAGGGGACCTCAAAACGTAAAAATCCATCGAAAACTCGAGGTCGAAAAAAATCATGATTCCTATACTTTCCTTATATCTGTATACAGATAGGAAAGTAAAAACACGAAAACTCTAAAAGCCATCTTCATAACTGCATGGAATTTGCGTTGCTAGGGACAACTAATGTTATGGCTCAATTATATTCTGATTATTGGTTAAATATACAGAAACATAATGAAAATGTATCAAAGAATAGGCAAAAATATTAATTGCATTAAGTTTTGTGGATCTTTTGAACTGGCTCTTCGGGGACGTGATGAGAGCAATTCTTTCGAGAATCCGGGGACTCATAAATTTCTCGACTGAATTGGATGCAACTCTAAGTGACCACCAAAAAAATTCTTCGGTATTTAAAGGCACCTCTAAAGAAATACAGAACGATCCGTTACAGTGTATGCTCGATGTCTGTCATGAACAAATAATTGAGGAAATTAATAATTCTCCATTTTTGGCGATCATGGCGGACGAAGCAACGAATGTTGCTGCAAAAACTTAACTGGTAGTTATATTTAGATATGTTCGCAATGGTGAGCCAATTTAACGTCTTTGGAACTACTTAATTCCTGAACGCAAGCGCTCAGGTAACAGCAGATTTGATCACTGACATTAAGGACATTGAATGACGCACTATCTCTACTAAATTTTTCAATATCAAACAATCTAGGAAATACGTTAAAGGAGAAAATTATTAGAAATTGTGGTAACAACTCATATGACAACATCAGAGAACGAACGATGTTTCTCAACACTAAATCGAATTAAAACGTTTCTCAGAAATTCAATGACCGAAGCTCTTTCCATGCTATCTATTGTAAACAAGTCTACTTCCGAAATACAGTCTGTTCGCTATACTTATGCGGGTTTCGGATGCAAATTAGTCATTGACAACCAGTTCCAATAACCCTCTTTCCAAGAAATTAGGTAAAATTGCCCTAATGGTCAGAATTAAATAAAAATAATATTAGGGTAGGTACTAAATTTGTTACAAATAGTGCAGTTGAATTGATTCTTTGCAAGTGTTGACATTGTATGTATATTGTAAATTTAGTGGAAATTTTAAAAATGCCCAGACGTGTGTTAGATCCAAGAGGCGGACCGAAGGCATAGGCACGCCCCTTCGAGTCCAAGATCATCCAATAGAACCAAAGTCAACTATTAAATATCTAGGATTTCAGCTGGATAGGGGATTAACGTTTTATCAACACATTTTGGACAGGATAGCTAAAAACTGTGGAATTCTAAGGACTCTCTACCCCCTTATGAACAAGCGGAGTAGAGTTACCCTGTCAAACAAAATTCTCTTATATAAAACAGTATTCAGGCCAATACTAACGTATGGTTGTCCAGTTTTCTGCTCAATGACACAAATACATTATAATAAATTACAAAATGCGCAAAACAGATGTCTGAGGCTAGTTCTAGGGTGCGACCGCTACACTAGAATACGAGACATGCACGCTACGACAAATATACCACTCATTAGAGACTTTATCATCAAAACAGCCGAAAACTTCTACGCGCGATGCCTCCCTGATGAGTTGAGGGATAGCATCATTAACATACATCGGGGAGACGGCGTGCGTAGAAAGCACGGCTGTCTTCATCAATGTTTGAGCATATACAGACGACAAGAACAGGACCCTCCACTGAGCATAACGTACTAAACAACAATTCACCCGATGTAGATAGTTACGAGATCTAGTCGGACGGACGACTGAACGGTGAAATCGACGGACAGTGCCTCGGCAGTTTACCTAGAACTGTTCTAGGCCGAGTTTGCACGGATCCGTAGCAAATTTTTCACCGACAACTGTCAATTGTCAACTGTCACTTGTGATTTAACAATAACAATCTAATTTCTTTTAATTGCGCCAGTGTAAGTTAAACAAAACTCCGGGAGTGACTCGGAGTTCATGTCTGAGCCCTTAGGGCCACACAAAACAGAGTATGAGACTCTTTATTCCCGTCGATTACGCGACCGGATCAACAACACGTCCAAAAATCCGACAGTGAACGTCAATGTGGTCCGTAAACGATCAGTAGTGAGCAGCCCTAAAGTGACTAAATCTAAGCAACATCACCCTTATAAAAACGTGAGTAGTCGCATGAGCACAAATAATTCTCCTAACCTTATGGGATCAGATGACCAATACAGAAAAAACTCCACGCAAAAATTTTTCACAAAAAAAAGTTTGGAGAAAGGAAATAGCCTAAAAGCTAACCCAGATACTAACACCAACAAGCTGCCAAACACCACAATCCTAAACTCAGCTGAAAACACGCAAACAGTGCCCAATACCCAACTTGCGAGACAAAACACAAATCCCAACAAAATTTTGGAAAGTTTGGAGAAAGGAAACAGTCTAAAAGTGAGCACAGACTCCACCACAGACGATCTGACAAGCAAACAGAATAAAAATCTAACTGGCAACACACAAACAGTCCCTTTAGAACATGCGGCGAGTCTAAATAAAAATCCTCACAAAAATTTAGAAAGTTTGGAGAAAGATGGACATCGAAAAAGTTCGGAGAAAACAATTAATTGGGAAAGTATGGAGAACACTGTTGTGACTCGAAATAGTAATTCCAACATTAAGGAAAGTTCGGAGAATACTGATAGTGCAACCGGGCACATCAAACAAAGTTCGGAGAAAACAATTAATTGTGAAAGTATGGAGAACACTGTTGTGACTCGAAATAGTAATCCCAACAATAAGGAAAGTTCGGAGAATACTGATAGTGCAATCGGGCATATCAAACAAAGTACGGAGAAAACTGATAGTGCAACCAGTATGTCCCATGTGCGCGAAAGTTTGTCGAAAACCGCGAGATATAGTGACAGTACCGAACAATACGAAAGTATGGAGAATTATTCTGTAGACGGTGCAAGCGACTCATCGCTAGACAGCCTAGAAAAGAGCGATAACGTGATACGGTCGGATCCAAATGAAAGTTTGGAGAAACTGATTAACGACCTCGAAGACTCCAACGCTGACTCCCTTAGCCCAGATAAATTAAATGACACCGTTTTGGACATGGATGAACAAGAAAATCAACCCAAACTCCCGATTGAAGAAAAAAATCGAACAACTTTTTTGGAAAAAAAAAAGTATGGAGAAAATCTCAATTTCTCTCAAACCACCTTCAAAACGTTAGAACTACCAAAAAATGTCATAACGAGACCATTAGACTTTGGGCAAAATGCACGGTCCTCTGGCGACTCCAGTACCATCACCCCTATTAACACCCCTATACTTAACAGTGCCAATAACACCCTGACCCAAGGTGCAGAAGGGGCTTCAGGATCAAGTACAAAACGGGTACAGAGCATTAACGATGTGAATCCATTCAAAAAGGTATTTGCAGCGGAAAGTGGGAGGACAGATCAGACAGGGGGTGGATCGAGTAACTTCCAGTTTGATTTTGTCCAAGCACCTACTGCTGTAAACAAGCCTTTCTCGCAGTTCGAAAGCATGCAACCAGCTAAAAACACCGGAACAATAAAAAGAACCACCCTACAAGCTGACCCGAGAATCAAAGTCACGGTATTAAATAATGACATACCCCCTCAGACAACTCAAAAAATCCTGAATTTCAACTCAGCTTACTGCACCTCTGAAGATGAAAACAAACCCCCGTACTACAATTATGGAAACACTCAACTACCTACATCGCCAAACAGTACCTTCCAGTTAAGGGATAAACCCCTATCCCAAAATCAGCCTATGGAAACAGACCCTGCTCCAGGTACAAACCCCCCATTCCAGACGCCCAGGAAATTCAGTAAAAACTTCCAGATGCTGATGAGGGAAAAAACCAAAAAATCAATTACCAAAACAAATAATAGATTCCAGCCTCTCACTGACGAATCCGAGACGGAATATGAGGATGATCTGGATCGAATTATTAAACGTAAAAGGGTATCATCCACTCGAACCCCCAAGAGTAACAAAAATACATCCAAAAATGTTATTCAAGCGGAAGAAACCATAGAGAGCATTCTCGCTGAGAATAAAAACAACAACCCTCCGAAGACGACCTCCAACCCCAAAAATAAATCGACTATGCCACCTATAGTTATCGATGGGAAAACATCAAACCAAGCATCACTCATTAGCGACATAAAAGAAATAGTAAAAGGTAACTTTAGTATTAAACACACCAATAATTCGACAATCCTCTTTGTGGATGACAAAGAGGACCACTGTAAGATGGTAGAAAATATTAGGGCCGAGAAGCTACCCTTCCACACTTATACCACCAAAGATGATAAAACCCACGCGTTTGTTCTCCGTGGGTTAGCGGACGGCACAAAAATTCCCGATATTGTGGAAGATCTACAGGAAGAATACGAAATTAAAGTTAAAGAAATCTTTCGTATGAACACCAAAAACCGACCTCTTTTTCTGGTTGTCACGGACCCCTCGATGACACTGGATTATTTAAACAAGAATGCCCGAAGAGTTCTTTACACCAGGGTTACATGGGAACTTCGGAAATCCGTCAAATTAATAATCCAGTGTCACAATTGTCAGCAGTGGGGGCACGCCACGGCTAACTGCGGCAGGAAATCGAAGTGCGTAAAATGTGCGGGGGATCACCACACACGAACCTGTCTAAAAACTAGAGAGACAGCTGCTACGTGTGTAAACTGTGGGGGTGATCACCCCGCAAACTACACCAAGTGTAGCAGTTACCTGGAGAGAATCAACAGACTCGAAGAAAAGAAACTACAAAGGCCACAGAAAACAAAATATGTACCCGCCCCAATACCAAAAATTAACCAATGGGAGGCCAGATCACAACATACTAAAGCAGATGAATTTCCGGCACTGCCCACAAATGCACAGAGGCCACAGCAGAGGTCAAACCCGGTACAACAACCACAACAAAGAGCTTCCATCACTTCATTACCTCGACAACCCTCATATCAAGGAGGAGCCATGGACGATTTCACAGCCCTCAACGACGCGTTTGCTGAATTAAATACCCTGGTAAATATAGGTGAGCTTACAAGAGCAGTTAGACAACTCAATACACTTCTTAAACAATGTAGAACAGGTAAAGACATCATAGAAACATATAATAACTTCATGACGAACGTTGACAATCACTTTAACCTACGGAACTAAACGCTACAAAAGACAAAATCAAAATTTGTTTCTACAATGCGAATGGGATGCGAAGCAAGACCCAATTGGTTCGCAGTTTCGTTCTCAAACATCAGTTTGACATCATGCTCATTACTGAAACACATTACATACAAACGAACAAATTTAACATACCCGAGTATGATGTCATAAGACAGGACGGACTAAATCAAGCCAAGGGGGGAGTAGCAATGATAATCAAGCGAAATATAAAATATGAAATACTTAGTAATCTTAATATATCACAGGAACACATTAGAATTTTAATAAATAACCTAACCCTGGTGGGCACCTACAACCATCCCGCCAACATATTCACTAAAGTTGAACTTAATACAATAATGTCTTCGGGAAAACGAGTCCTTCTGTTTGGAGACCTTAACTGTAAGCACTATCACTGGGACGCCAATTGCACTACCCCGAATAAAAGTGGCAGAAATCTTAACGAATTCGCCGAGAGTGAAGACCTTATTATACATTACCCTGAAGAACCCACCCACTTCCCCTTCAACGGTAATACCCCAAGCACACTCGACATTGCAATCACAAAGGACATACCAAACGTGGACAATGTAAGAACAATCAAGACAATGACATCAGACCATGACCCTGTATACATGGAAATAAAAACCACCAGATTATTTCCTAGAATACAGGGTCAATTCTACAACTACAAAAACACTAACTGGCATACATACAGGAAAACACTTGACGAAATTATAACAATAAACAGAGACATAACTGACCACACAGTATTAGACGACGAATTCATGAAACTTACGGACGCCATCAAAACCGCTAGAAACAGAACAACAAAACTAGTAAATATCAAGCAATACAACGACGACATACCACAGGACATACTTGACCTTATCAAATACAAAAACAACACACGAAAACGATGGCAAAACCACAGACAGGCCGCAGACAGGGTCAGTATGCTTGCACTGGGGAAGGAAATAAACCGGAAAATTAACGAACACAGAAATAATAAATGGAGACTGACCCTGGAAGCGGTTAACATACAAGACAATTCGGTGTGGAAAGTTGTGAGGAAGTTTAAAAAACCTTACTCGGAGCTTCCCACACTGAAATACAAAGACACAGTGTGCTTGACCGACAACCAAAAGGGACGCGCTCTCGGCGAGTATTTTCAGGATAACTTTAAAAATCCACTAGTAAATAATCCCAAACAGCAAGAAATTACCGACCTTTGTAATGACATAAGAGAACTTGATACTCAAACCGTGCCCTCGAACTCACTAACTTCCCCTAAGGAAATCGCGGATGTTCTACAACGTTTCCACAACAGGAGGGCTCCTGGTCCAGATGGCATCCCTAACGTGCTTTTAAAAAATTTATCACGGAAAGCTATTGTCCACTTACACTATCTGATAAATGCCATCATGAAATTACAGTATTACCCGGTCTCTATGAAAATAGCTAATATTGTTCCGATACACAAATCAGGTAAAACTAAGGGTGAAGTTTAAAGCTACAGGCCAATATCACTGTTAAATGGGGTTGCTAAGATAATTGATCATATCCTATTAAACAGAATCAAGACTTACGAACTAGACAAAGAGATCATCCCGGCGGAACAGTACGGTTTCAGAGCTGGACACAGCACGATTGCACAAGTCATAAGAATTGCACACCATGCTAAAAAGGCTTTTAACTCCAAACAACAAACTGTGCTTGTAGCACTCGATGCTGCTAAGGCGTTTGACACCGTCTGGACTGACGGGTTGATCTACAAAATGTTTGAGAACGACTACCCCGTTCACATTGTAAAAACAATACAAACGTACCTACACAAAAGACAATTTTTCATCAAAACTAAAAACACACTTAATGGACCATACACAGCGCAAGCGGGAGTGCCTCAGGGCTCAGTACTCGCGCCTCATCTGTACACTATCATGACCCATGATATGCCAATGGGTCATAATGGCATACAGACGGCCTTGTACGCCGACGACACTTGCATATACAAATCATCGCAATCTGCCGAAATAGCGGCAAGAAGACTGGACATCCATATTAACAGAACGATAGTCCCCTACTTCGAAGATAATAAAATTAAATTAAATCCAAAAAAAACCGAAAGCCTAATCATTACAAAAAGGACAACAGAATGCATTAAAACCAAAATAAAAGTCCAGGGGCAGACAGTTAACACTACTAATAACTTAAAATATTTAGGAGTAATATTAGATAGGGGACTCACGTTCAGTAATCACATTAAAGATAGAGTAGGGAAAACTACAGGGGTAATCAAAATGCTATACCCCATACTTAATCGACGAAGTGGACTGTCCATCCAAAATAAATTACTCCTATACAGGCAAGTTCTAAGACCAATTCTCACCTATGGAAGTCCAGTCTTCTGCGGTATGGCCAACACACATTTTAAACAACTACAGATCTCGCAAAACAAGTGTCTTCGGCTGGCACTGGGGTGTGACCGCTATGCAAAAATCAACGACTTACATGAACAGGCATCCATGGAACCTATTAAAGACTACATATTAAGAATATCAAACAAGTTCTATAACCATTGTCTCCCTAGCACGGTCAAGGAAGACATATTACAATTTCATGAAGGGGATGGGGTAGTCAGGAAACATGGATGCCTGCATCATAACCTACAAATTTACAGACGAGACGTGGAATGAGCGTTGCTACTAACAAGCCCACAGCAGCGAGCATTCCACTAAACAGCCAAATCACTACGACCACTAGCTAATAACTATGGTCGGACGGAAGACTGCACGGTGACGTCATCGGCCAGAATTGGAATCGAGGCTTGCCTTGTGCCTGGTTCGGGAAGTTGACGAAACTGTGTAGTCTTGTGATTTGAACTAAACGCACGAAAGACGACACATGACGCACATTCACATAAAGACAACCCTGTTTTTTCGAAACTAGTTTTTCAGGGAAGACAAATCACAAGTAAATTCAAACAAAACTATAGACAACATACAATTACTGATCTTGTAAGCAAACCACAATTACTATATAGTGCTACTACAGCAAGGAGATAGTACATACCCCCCTCAGAATAACTAAATAATAAATTGAGTACAATTGCGGCTAGGAAATCGGCCATGGTTCGCCTAGGGTGAATCAATATGGAATTGGAGCTTCAAGAGGCGACTCCTGAAGCAAATCTATATATACATAATTGTATTGTGATTATTATGAAATGTACATATGTAAATATTAATAAAGAATTTTTAAATGAAAAAATGAAAAATCGGCCGAGGGCGATCTCCAAAACAAAGACAACTCTGTTAACCCTAACCCTTAACCCTAACAAAAGTGGCAAAAACCTGGATGAATTCGCCGATGACAATGACTGCATCATACATTATCCCGAAGACCCCACGCACTTTCCTTTCCAGAACAATCACACGCCAAGTACCCTGGATATAGCCGTTGCTAAGAACCTTCCCAACATAGACAACACTAGGACCATTAAAGAACTAACGTCGGATCATGACCCTGTATATCTGGAGATTAAGACAACACGCTTGATCCCCAGAATCCAGGGTCAGATCTATGATTACAACACAACTAACTGGACAAAATACAGACAAATCCTCGACAAAAACATACACATCAACAGCAACATTACAAATAATAATACTCTTGAGGAAGAATATTCTAAACTTACAAATGCTATAATCAAAGCGAGAGAGCTTTCTACCAAAAAAGTAACACGTAAACAGCACAAAGATAATCTTCCTCAAGAGATTATTGACCTCATAACACACAAAAACTACACTAGACGGCGCTGGCAAGCCCACAGACTCGATGCGGACAGGGAAAACATGCTACAAATCGGAAAACACATCAATCTTAAAATCAAAGAACATCGAAATAACACGTGGAGAAAAACCCTGGAAGCAATCAATATACACGACAACTCAGTGTGGAAAATGGTGAGGAGGTTTAAGAAGCCTTTCTCGCAACTTCCCACACTGAGACACAATAACAACACTTACATAACGGACGACCAGAAAGGGAGTGCGTTCGGCGAATTTTTCCAGGGAAATTTTGTCAACACACAACAAAATAGCACGGAACAAACTGAAATCCAAAACATCACAAAGGAAATTAGTGAAATGTCCACTCAAAACATCCCCCCTAACGTATTAACCAACCCTACTGAGGTTTATGAAATAATAAAAAGATCTCCTAGTAAGAGGGCCCCAGGTCCCGATGACATGCACAACAAATTGATTAAGAATCTATCTAAAAAAGCTATCGTGCAGTTGCACCACCTCATTAACGGAGTATTAAAACTACAGCACTACCCAGCAGCCCTTAAGGTTGCAAATATTATCCCTATTAACAAACCAAATAAGGATAAAAATCTTCTTGAAAGCTACCGCCCCATTTCTCTCCTAAATGGACTGGCGAAAATAACGGACAAAGTATTACTAAAACGCATACACACACACGAACTCGACAATCAAATTATTCCGTCAGAACAGTACGGGTTCAGGGCCGGACACAGCACAGTGGCCCAAGTCATACGTATCGCCCATCACGCTAATAAGGGTTTTAATCTAAATCAACAAACTGTGGTTGTGGCACTGGATGCTGCTAAGGCCTTCGACACGGTCTGGACTGACGGATTAATCCACAAAATGTTTATGAATGACTACCCCGTGTTCATTGTTAAAACAATCCAAACATACTTACAAAACAGGCAATTTTATATTAAAATCAACAATACAAGAAAAGGACCATACACTGCCATGGCGGGTGTACCACAGGGCTCCGTACTGGCGCCGCACCTGTACACCATAATGACCCATGACATGCCTATGGGTCATAATGGCATACAGACGGCGCTCTACGCCGATGACACTTGTATATATAAATCCTCACAATCTGCAGAAATCGCGAACAGAAGACTGGACATCCACATTAACAGAGTGTTAGTCCCCTATCTTGATAAAAATAAAATTAAAATTAACCCCAGCAAGACGGAAAGTCTGATATTGTCTCACAAAAAGACTGATCAAATAATAAACAAATTGAAGGTTCAAGGTCAAATAGTTGAGGTCAAAGACAAACTAAAATACTTAGGAATAATTCTAGATAGGAGACTAACATTCAAACAGCATATAAGTGATAGGATCGCAAAAACTACCTTTGCATTTAAAACACTTTATCCGATGCTGCATAGAAGAAGTGGAGTCACCAGTGACAATAAACTTCTTCTATATAAGCAAGTACTGCGTCCTATACTTATATACGGAGGTCCTGTCTTCTGTTCTATGGCCGAAACTCATTTCAACAAACTGCAAGTAATGCAGAACAAGTGTTTGAGGCTGGCTTTGGGGTATGACCGCTATGCCAGAATACGCGACATGCATATACAAACATCCATGGAAACTGTTAAGGCACATGTACACCGATTATCTAATAACTTTTATAAAAACTGCCTACCCAGCTACCTTAAGGAGGACATTGAATTAATCCACGAAAGAGATGGTGCAAACAGGAAACATGGATGTTTGCATAAAGCACTCACAATTTACAGACGAGACTAAAACAGCCCTCAGCTAACGACAGGACGTGGACTGGGCGCTGCTACTAACTGACTCACAGCAGCGAGCATTACACTGAATAGCCAAAACTCGAATCCGACTAGCTATCAACTCTAGTCGGACGGAAGACTGCACGGTGACGTCACTATTCAACACACAAACAAGGACAACCCTGTTTTTTACGTTTTTCAGGGATGACACTCACAATTAAAATCAGACAAAAACTTAATAACTTTACCATTATCGCTCTTGCTAACCCACAAAATAGGCATATAATATTGTCAAAATAAGGAGATGCCTAGCCAAAATGCATAATTAGAAAAAGTAGTAGGCAAATACGGCCATAACATCGGTCTACATAGAAGGCTACACTTCCAGAAGGAAACAATTGGAAGTCCCTCTACATATATTATATATTTATATTATATATTTGTATACTATTTAATGTAAAACTATGTACATAATGTAAATAGAGTTTTGAAAGTAAAAGTAAAGTAAAGACAACTCTGGTTTTTCACTTGCTTTTCCAGAGAAAACAGTGAACCTTGGACTCACCAAGGCTGCTGTTACCCGAATCTACGTTCGTTCCGGATCCGAAGTAACACATAACCCTACTTTCAACCTTCTTAGTATTTTTCCCTTATTATTGTCCGAGTAAAGTATAATCGCCAGGTATAGTTTTAAAAAAGTGTCAGGAGTGTAACCCCGTGCATGGGGGAGCCCTCGGGGGCAGCCATACCGTCGGGTAAACCGGCAAACACCGCGAAAATCGCGGAATCAAAAACCGAACTCTCTCAACGCCTATCGAGTCGGGTAAAAGCTTATAATAAGTTAATCCAAGAAAGCCGAGAAAGCTACATACGCAACCCTAACATCTCCAGAAATAAGAAAAGAATAATTCTATCGAGCAGCATAAAAACTGTAAGTACTGAGGACCTAACCATAAATCTCGGTGAAAAGTCCAGTACTGCAGGAGACCCACGGCCAAATTTTCCAAAATTGGAAAGTATGGAGAAAACTGTCAGAACTAGTAATACAACAAGAGACCGTAGACATAGCACCGGCGAACCACCTAAAAGTCCGAGCGCGACACAATCCGCTTCTCAAGACGAAAGCCACTCAAAATTACAAAGTATGGAGAACGACAATTTACAAAGTATGCAGAAACAAAATCTGCAAAGTTTGGAGAAAACACTTAGCGACAGCGGGCTGGCCCAAAGTCTACAAAGTAAGGAGAATGCGTTCTACTTACTTTCCAAAAGACACGAAAGCGGCGAATCAAAAACGAGCGAGGATAGTGAAATGGAGGCAGACAGCTCCGAAAACGGCTCGTTCGAGAGAAACAACACCCACACGGCCAAAAAAGCTAAGAGAAACTCGCCGAAAGGGCCAAAAACAGACTCTTCGGAAAGTTCGGAGAATGAACTTAGCGAACGCGCCAACGACTCCAGAAGCATCGAGCAGTTATATCTTGATAGCACCGACAAAGACGATCGAGACGGCTCCGATGTTGCCAAATCCCAAGGATTCCCAGAAACTTTGGAGAAAACCAAAAAATTAAAAAGTTTGGAGAAAACCGAATTGGAAAGTATGGAGAACGAAAATTTGGAAAGTATGGAGAAAATTAAAAATTTCAAATTCACCCCCAGACGGCATGAACAGGCAAATAAAAAGAACGAAGACGACTTCGTGTCCGATTATGTGTCGATCCCCTCAGCGGAAGGGTTAAAAATCACCATTAAGCAGTGCGACGTACCGCAGGCTCTGAGGAAAAACATAATGGAGTATAACAGCGGACAAGAACTATCCGGGGATGAAAACCATAGTTCCAGGCTGAAACAAACCTTAGTTACCCCCATACTTCACCCCTTACCTGACCAACCGTCTGAACTAACCCTCCCAAGTGGCAGAACACAACCTCTTCCCCCAAAAATATACAAACCCAGACCAAAACCAAACCCCCCACCCGTTATCGAAAAACCACCCCCACCCCTACCTACCTCCCCCAATAGCACATTCCCACTACAAAGAAACAAAAGAATCACTGAAGCTAATAAAGATCTAAATAGGATAGACATCATATCACCGGACGAAAAAATGGACACTCAGGATTTCATCTCACCCCCTAAACTAAACGGCCATCTAAAAAGGATGATGAAGCAAAAAGCTATTGCTTCACTTCCCAAACCCGTCGAAACCAGAAACAGATTCCAAGTACTCACGGAGTCTGAGGAAGAAGAAGAAGACGAAGAAATTCTCAAAAAGAGAGAATTGGCTAGAAAAGAAAGAAGGGAGAAAGCCGGAAATCAAAGAAAGAACTCAACCGCCGACAGAAAGGCAGAAAACCCTAGCGCAAACAACAATAACAAAAAAGACACAATACAGGCTAAAAAGAAAAACTATATGCCACCCATAGTCATGGACGGAGTGCCAGAAGACCACCAGGGGCTCACAGGTGTCCTCAGGGAAATAATTAAGGGTAATTTCAACCTTAAATACACAAACAACTCCACAATTGTTTTCACTGAGGACAAAGATGACTATGACAACGTCATCAGGAATATAAAAAGCGAAGAAATGTCCTTCCACACTTATACGAATAAAACAGAGAAGTCCCATGCATTCGTACTGCGCGGACTTGGGGACGGCACAAAAATCGATGACCTAGAGGAGGACCTGATGCAAAACTACGAGATCAAAACAAGATCTATATACAGAATGACCACCAGAAATAGGCCCCTATTCCTGGTAATTACAGACCCGTCAATCACTTTGGATTATCTAAACAGAAACGTCAGGGTGGTGCTGTACACCCGCATAACTTGGGAGCTGCGAAGATCCACAAAACAGATAATCCAATGCCACAATTGCCAGGCATGGGGGCATGCCACATCCAATTGTGGAAGACAGCCTAACTGCTTAAAATGTGCATCAGGTCACCATACAAGGACATGTATCAAATCCAGAGATACCCCCGCGACGTGCATCAACTGCGGAGGCGACCATCCCGCCAACTTTACTAAATGTAAGGCATACCTCGAGAGAGTCTCTAGACTCGAAGAGAAGAAAATGAATAGCAACAAAAATAACCCCAAAAAATACATACCCGCACCCCTACCTACCAAAAATAGGTGGGAAACCAGAAATGAGACAAAAAGCAGTGAACGAAGATACAACACAGAGTTCCCTCTCTTACCGGGCAATACGGAGTTCCCTCTCCTACCGGGCAAACGAGACGAACCATCAACAAGTCAAGAGAGCAGAAGACAGCAAAATAATACACAGAACGCAACACAGGGAGGTATGGATGACGTATTTGCACTGAATCATGAAATGCAAGAGCTTAACTCACTAGTAAACATAGCCGAATTAACCCGCGCGGTAAGGGAGCTTAACTCCAAACTAAGGGAATGCCGCAGCGAAGCGTCAATCTTTTTAACTTATAATAATTTTATGAACAACCTCAACACATACAGATTTAGGAATTGAATTCGCTGCGGTTTACCGAGACAAATACAAAATCTGTTTTTACAATGTAAACGGGCTGCTAAACAAGATACATCTTGTAAGCAACTTCATTTATAAACATAAATTTGACATCTTAGTATTAACGGAAACACATCTTAAACCAATCCACAAAATAAAAGTGCGTGACTACGACATATACAGACAGGACAGAGCAGACCAACCTGGAGGGGGCGTGGCTTTCTTTATTAAACGTACCATCCCACATGTAGTTGTCACGAGTGTTCTCTCTAGTATAGAGCACGCAATCATTAAAATCGGGGGGATTACATTTATAGGGGTGTATAATAAGCCATTAAACCATTTTACGAACGTAGATCTACACAACCTCATGGCAACAGGGGATAAAGTCTTGTTAATGGGAGATCTCAACGCGAAAAACAAAGAATGGGACGCGAACTGCCGTAAAAACAATAAAAATGGGAATACACTTAGCTCCTACGCAGAATTAAATGAGTATGAAATACACTACACCGATGAACCAACGTGCTTCCCTTTTAGCGGACAAACACCCAGCACTTTAGATATTGCCATGACAAAAAACATTAACAGCGTACATAACATCGTAACTATCACTTCACTTAACTCGGACCATGACCCAGTTTATTTAGAACTCAGAACGAAAACAAACATTCAAAGATACAACGGACAATACTATGACCACAAGACAACAAACTGGGCAAAATACAGGGAAATACTGGACAAAAACATTGTAATAAACAACAACATCACAACACCTACAGAGCTAGACAAGGAAGTTGACAAACTCACAAAGAACATTATAAGTGCAAGAGACAAAACGACAGCCATCAAACACATAAAAATGCACCACGAACACCTCACAACTGAAATACAAGACATGATTACAAATAAAAATATCATACGCAAGAGATGGCAACGAAACAGGCAAGGCGACGACAGACTCAGACTCTTGGACATTTCAAAGACAATAAACATAGCTATACGTGACTTAAGAAACAAAAAATGGACAGACATTCTACGTGAACTCAAACCACAAGACAACTCTTTATGGAGGGTTGTAAAGCGGTATAAGAAACCGACTATGCAACTCCCCATACTTGAGGACAATAACGGACAATACACAACTGACACACAAAAAGGGGAAGCACTTGGGGAACATTTCAAAAATAATTTCACCAATAACACAATTAATAATGTAGAACAGCAAATAATTGAGGACGTAGTAGAGGACATTAGGCTCCTCCCCGCAGAAACAATTCCGACCAATCAGCTGGTCACTCCCAAAGAGGTAAAAATCACAATTAATAAAATTAAAAACAGGAAGGCACCGGGCCCAGATGGGATTACAGGCCTTATGCTGAAGAACATCACTAAGAAAGCGCTCGTGCAACTACACCACATAATTAACGCGATACTAAAATTACAGTATTACCCTAAATCGTTAAAAACCGCAAACATAATCCCGATTAGGAAACAAGGTAAACCCGCGAAAAATATAGAAAGCTACCGTCCCATATCCCTACTAAACACACTCACAAAAACTATCGACATCATACTCCTTAATAAACTACGCTTAATAGAACAAGACAAACAAATAATCCCACAGGAACAGTACGGTTTCCGCGAAGGACATGGTACGATTGCACAGGTTATACGCATTGCGCATCAAGCCAAAGAAGGCTTTAACAATAAAAAAGCAACCGTCCTTGTCGCCCTGGATACCGAAAAGGCGTTCGATACCGTCTGGACCTGTGGGCTTATCTACAAAATGTTTATAAATGAATTTCCTATTTATATTGTAAAAACGATTCAATCATACCTACAGGACAGAACATTCCACATTAAAATAAACAAAACTTTAACAGGACCATTTAATGCAATGGCGGGGGTACCTCAGGGTTCAGTACTTTCGCCGCATCTGTACACGATTATGACCCATGATATGCCCATGGGTACTAATGGTGTACAGACGGCACTGTATGCCGATGATACCTGTGTGTATAAAACTTCGGAGCTTGCTGAAGTAGCGAACAGGAGGCTTGATATCCATATTAACCGAACTTTGGTCCCCTATCTAAGCGCGAACAAGATGAAATTGAACGCTTCGAAAACCGAGAGCTTGACTCTAACAAAAACCCGAAAGGGTAGAACACGTATAATTACCACCAAATTAAAAGTAGGAGAGCAAGTGATCGAGTCGCAGCGTTCAATAAAATATCTCGGGGTGCGCTTGGACAGGGAACTAACGTTCAGGCAACATATTGAAGAAAGGGTAACTAAGGCCAACGCAGCAATTAGAACATTATATCCCCTGCTTAGACGCAATAACGGGTTCAGTCGGGACAATAAGCTGTTGTTATACAGACAGATAATCAGGCCTATCTTAACCTATGGGTGTCAGGCCTACTGTTCCATGACGGAAAGTCACTTTAACAAGCTCCAGGTAATACAAAACAGTTGTTTGAGGCGTGCACTGGGGTGGCTCCGCTATTCCAGGATAACGGACATGCATGCAGAGACATCCATGCCCATGATTAAAACATACATCTTAAACATGTCAGAAAGATTTTACAAAAATAGTCTTCCCACTAATGTAAAGGAAGACATATTAAGCATTACGGAGGCAAATAGTGCTCACAGAAAGCATGGATGTCTCCACAAAGCACTGACAATCTACAGACAAATTTGAGACCTAAGACACACGAAACATACACAGACTGTGCCCTGTGACAACAATACTAATGGTACAAATTCAAGTCGACTAGACGTAAAATCTGGTCGGACGGAGGACTGCACGGTGAGTCGAAAATCGAAACGGCGATATTTTTCGCTGCTACGATCGACGATGACACCGTGTAGCCCTCGAATTTGTACAAATTAGTCATAAACTATACGGACAAACGGACATTACAAAGACAACCCTGTTTTTTCATAGCCTTTTTCAGGGAAAAATTACAAAACTAACGACAGACAAAATTACATTGAGGAAAGTTCCATTACCGACGCAAACAAACCAATCACAACTGCCATATAATATCTATCGCGATAAGGAGATGGCACCTTACTTCTCACACACTTAAGCATCTTGCATTAGTGATTGCGGTACGAGACGTCGCCCATACTTCACCAGTCTAGGCTGGAGAACAGAGGCGTAGTCATCGATGACGTACATTTATGTAGATGTAAACTAATTATGTAAATATTGTAAATAAAATTCTTCTCTCTCTCGACATTGAATAGGGATTACACTGTGTAGCCTGTAGATTTGGCTTTCTCACGTACATAGACTAACAAGTGACGAACACACAAACAAGGACAACCCTGTTTTTTACGTTTTTCAGGGATGACACTCACAATTAAAATCAGACAAAAACTTAATAACTTTACCATTATCGCTCTTGCTAACCCACAAAATAGGCATATAATATTGTCAAAATAAGGAGATGCCTAGCCAAAATGCATAATTAGAAAAAGTAGTAGGCAAATACGGCCATAACATCGGTCTACATAGAAGGCTACACTTCCAGAAGGAAACAATTGGAAGTCCCTCTACATATATTATATATTTATATTATATATTTGTATACTATTTAATGTAAAACTATGTACATAATGTAAATAAAGAGTTTTGAAAGTAAAAGTAAAGTAAAGACAACTCTGGTTTTTCACTTGCTTTTCCAGAGAAAACAACGACAAATAACATTAATCATAGCAACAAAACAAACCGCAGGTAAGGAGTCGACTGTCAACCTCCTAGTAGACACACCTAGTTTTCATTTACCGGCGGAACATCAGCCAATTATCCAAGAAGATTTTCGAGGATAGCCGTGATAGGCTAAAATCCTATCGTGTACTAAAAATGAATACTTGATGTATTGTAAATAGCTTTTTAAAATAAAGACTTTGAATTTGAATTTGAGGGCGATCTCCGTCCTCGACTTTGGCACTTTCGGGTGGTTTTACTGTGCAGTAGCCCTGTGGATTGTGACAATAACGAAGACTATCGAAAGATCAACATACAACGCTGACAACCCTGTTTTTTCCTAGCTTTTTCAGGGGACAAATACCAAACTAACCCTCGACAAATCTCTAAACTAAGACAATTACCGACTTCAAAGACACCACAACCCCTTAATAATGCCTCTCTGGCAAGGAGTGAGAACTGCTATGTTTAGCCTAATCATAATAACAAACTACTACGTGTAAAATAGGTGAAAGTATCACCATTGGCCCAGCAGGCA